TCGAACTTCAAATGCACAAGACGAATTGGCGGCTTTCCGTCGGACGAGGGTCGATTCAAAGTGTCTCATGCATAGACATCGTGTCAGTACCGCACAGAGGCCATGTACGCGTTTGGTGTGTGCTTCTCGGGAGCGATAGCTCCCCATGTGGTGTGGCCACGTCATAACAGTACGTCACAGCAGCAATCTGGCAGTTGGCAAGCGGCGGACCTCTCGGGTTGTTCGTGGTGGACTGCAGAGATTTGTTTCCATTTGGCAGATCTCCCGTTAAGACACACAGGCCATTTCTGTCCGGATTTGGGTAGATCCGACTCTTTTATTCTTACATCGAAATGTGATTTCGAGATCTGATTTCTTCGTTAAGAACGACCCTCACCGCAACCCAAGAACCAATCCTTCCGGAGAACTCTCGAGGGTGAGTGGAACGATGGCACCAACATTATCACCGCCTGCTCCATGACTCTATGCCTCGATGTGTCGCATGTAAGATGATTGACGCTTGTCAACATCGTTCTCAACCAAACCCTACAGCACTTTTCTCTTCCTGACCTCTTTTCGTTGTGTGTGTTGACCGTGAGGGTCGGCGGACCGCACGCGCGCGCTGACTCAGCGGTAGGTAGTCGGTGTTGAACGTCTGAATTTTTTCAATATTAATATTTCTACATATTGCACGTGGTATGCGGCTTCAGCACTTGTAGTAGGACACTATGACATGGACCAGGGACCAGGGACCAGGGACCAGGGAATTCCGGCTTCGGTGTTTTACCCTGTTCCATTGTTGGTGTAATTTCGGGGGTCTACAGTGCAGTATAGTGTACACACGCCCTCACCACCGCCTCTCTCTCTAGACACGATCGGTGCTCCACCCGCTACTGGTGCCACGCTTGTTGCCTGTACCGCACGGAAACTGCCTCTGTATCGAGAGGGGACGCGAGGGCAATCATTCAGTGAGGCAGCGGCAGGGCTAGAGGGTCCCTGCTGCTGTCTGCCCATCTACCTTGTACAATAAAAACAAAGAACAATACTTGGAAAAATACTCAGCAAAGATCAACATTACATCAGAGCCACGTCATGAAGACTCTGGACGGACAACTCTGGCAAAACGCGTCAACAAATACTTCGAACAAAATCCTCGCACAAAACTGTGTTTCAACTCATTGATTAATTTCAAATAAGCTTCGGAAGCACACAGGCCTCAACCATTATTGTATCTACAGAAGGACTTGCTTGTATGATATCGTGGCCGTCGAGATACTGCTGCTGCTGCTGCTGTACGCGTGGATGGGTTGTTGAGTTTTTTTCGATCATCTTTTCATAGGTACCGCTACAAAATCGCCCCAAAGGCCCCAAGCATCCATCTCCCGACGCGCTTCCGCTTCCTCGTGTGTGTGGGCATGCAACCATGCAATCATGCAACCTGTACACGCATGCTGGGCTACGACAGCAGTGCCTGCACCCTCTCTCTTTGAATCCTCCTGAAAGGGTTTTCTCATACCGACCGCGGTAGAATGCCATCTACCATGTAGGGACAGCAGTAACATGCACGTCGAAATCGATTTGCCACACAACGAACACACCAGCAGCAAACAGCAGCATCGGCACAGACCCTCGTATTACGCCGACCACTGCTGTTATCCTCGCTCTGTAAGCAAAAACACATTCACCCCGAACCGCTGTTGCAAACAGTTGAGACGGGGGACGGAGGGAATGAATCACCCGCCCTTGACTTTAGCTTGATGCTGCTGTCTGTTGCTAACTATTATTGCGCGGCACCATTTTTCGCAACATGCCACCGCCGTCGTGTGTGGTGTGGCGTGTTGTAACTGCGACTTTGAATGTTTTTCGCACCCTCCTCACACGTGTCGTTACCTCCTCTCACAATTTTCTGTGTCACCCACAACAACACGCCGTTTCCCCGCCCGCCAGCGCGGACCTTTGGCATCATACGACTGCTGTGCGGTACAGCAGTATTTAGTTGGCCATCCTCAGTTCCCACATTCATCTCACCCCCTCTCTGTTCACGGCGTGGTGTGTTCGCCCTCTCGTTTCCAACACGCGTAACGTGACAGCAGTAATCTACTAATGTTCTCGAAGGTATGTGCTTCACTCACCGTTCTTGTCTAGCCCGGGGGCAGCCCTCCTTGCTCTTGCCGCCCTTCTTGGCCTCTTTCGCTTGGGCCTTCAGGCGATCGCGGTCTCGCTGGTTTCCACGCGCCATCTCTTCTTCTCTCCCTCTCTCTCTCTCTCTCCCTCTCTCTCCCTCTCGCTCGCTCTCTCTGTGGTCCCTCGCACACACAACAATTGTGCTTCGCGCAACTACTCCGGCTCCGTCGTGGATGACTGATGTGATGCGCGGGTGGCACGCAAGTGTTGGGGGGGCACCGCGGATGGTTTCCGGGGGTGCCGCGAATCGCAAAAAATGATGGGCGTTGCAAACGATAAACAAATGTAAAGTAAGTGTATGCTGCATGCGGACGGATGGACACAAACATAGCATACAACAATTAATATGCATGTGCTCACCTCCTTCTCTAGCCTACTTCTTTCTGTTTGTCGGTATGATGCGAGAGACACGACCGCTGCAGCAGCTTTCTTTGAGACACTGGGTTGCGATATTATTAAGGAATTATTCTAATGGAATATTTTATTTATTTGTTTGTCGCCAATTGGTTGACCGCGAGAGGGAGAGAACGGACGGACGACGAGAGAAAGCCTGTTCCCACGGCGGAACTGCCGGGAATCTCTGTTGTTGTGCTATTATATGCATACTTGTCTATGCATATCATACTACAAGCAGAAGTTGTAGAACTGTACTTACATAGTTCTGCATAGTTTCATCACCGACGAAGAAAAAATATATAGAAACGTCAATGTGAACGTTTTTCAAAACTTTTGTTCCCAGAAAAAAAGAAGACTGGATAACATTCTTCATAATATCATACGCATTTTACTCAGGTTATCTTCGTGCATTCAGTCTTTCGCCCTCCCGTTGTGTGATCAACGAACCGAATCCGTAAGAAGTACATATAATCTCGGAAGGATTGTGATCCCTCTGCGTTCGTACAACAAGTATTTCGCCGCGTCTTTCCGGACCGCGTCGTCGTCGTTGATCACCACACACAGCGAAGAGGAGCCAGGAATTGATGAATTTATTAATCGGCCGGCGTCGGCGTAATTAATGCATCATGAAGCAAAGGCAGTGATCATCATGCATGATGAAATTTGTTCTTGAAAACGACCGCTTGCCAACTCCTACTCGGTAAAAGCCTCTTCTTGGCTCTAACACACAAACAAACGTTCCCATCTACACTACACATCTACTTTTTTGGTTTTCCGACCCCAATTATGAAGGCAAAACGACGACGACGTTGTTGGTTGTAGACACCGTGAAACTATCTAAACATACATGCACTACCAGACAGACAGACGCACGTATGTATGTATGGATCGATCACGGTATGCGTACAAACGAACGAGAGAACGACAACAAATAATAGCAGCTAGCTCGCTCTCGTATCGGGGGAGAATAAACAACGACAGCAACGAACATCCACATACAGAAGACTTCCTATGTACTGAGACTACCACTACCACACCCGTTTTCCGCGCCTGATGGAAACTATTTTAGTCCAGCCACATCAATTTTGCTGCATGTACCTTATTTTGCTCTCATTCTTGTAGCCCTCCATGGACTCCATACAGCACAGACAGACAGACTCACACCATCGGCTGAATCACACGCTAAATCGGATGGGCACAGGGGGCGGTACTACAGCAGCCTCTCCATTCTCCATCAAGCATCATGGATGGCGACATACCATTCACACGGCTACCTCTCAATACCACAACAAATGCCTCATGATAAGCTTCTTGTCTGCATACTCACTATCCACCGCCGCAGCAAAAACTAAGTAACGGCAAACAACAACATTATTTGCACTTAAAAAAGTCTAACAATGGATGTACAGAGATACCAAAGCAGTAGACCCACCCGGCTTTGGGCCATCACGTGCTTTCGAGTAAATTTTCTAACCGAAACACTCAACGATGAAAAGAGGAGGAGACCGAACTCGCTTATCTAGACACGGCCGTGAAAAGCAGAGAGAAACAACCCGCAACTTGGTCTCTTCTCGATACTCCGAACTTGAAATAGAAACAACAGACAAAACAACCGGCTTTCACCGGCCTACAATAGAAGAAACAATGCCAAACGTGCAAGGTACTAAAGTAAAGTGGGAGATAGATGTACTCGTGTTCGTTCTCCCCCTACTTTTCGGATACAAAAAAGACAAGCATAATATGTGTACATTCATGCCTCATCTGGAGACATATGCGCTGAACTAACTACTACAAGCTGCTGCTCAATGACGGCCCACCAACAGTCGCAACTTTCATCTCTAGCCGTTACGACGGGCAGCCTCTTGTGGGTACGCAACACCGTACGAATAAAATACACGGCGGTGGCACACGGTTTTCAAACCTTGGAATAAAAGCTTCTCGAGTCGCCCCATACGGCTGCACGTCAGCAGTACGAACAATGGTCAACGCTTTTTGCCACTCCATCGGTACCCCCCTCCCCCCCCCTCCCTCCCTCCCCTAGGGAAGAACAAAAATGACAGTAAGACAACGGCAGTCAGGTTCAATGCTGGGCGGGTTGCTCAAACATGACAACGTTTATACGTGTATTGTCACACGGACAGCTCACCCTACCGGCCCTTCAGCCCCCCGCGGGCGAGGGCGAGCGCGCTTTACGAATAGCCGTCTCACGAGCAGAGCTTGTTGCAACCAAAACCTAACAGAAGACTGCAGGTAGCAGAGTATCTTTTTTCCAACCCCGCGTCTGACAACATACCGCGCTGGCTCGCGCTCGCGTTCGAGCGCCGCCTCGGGCCTCAAGAGAGAAAAACAAGAAACAAGAAGAGGAAAAAAACACCCCGCTGTCGTAGCACAACCAAGCAGCTGAACATCACTGCACTGCACCACCACCGACGACCTGGCCATCATCTACCGTCTGCCGCTCCGGGGTAGGAGGACGCCGCCGCCGCAGCAGCAGCGGCAACGCGACCGGAGGGGCCCTGCGAAAACAGCATGCCGAGAGCCGCGACCGCGTCTGCGCGAGCCAGCTTCTCCTCGTTGACGTCTTCCGCTTTGGCGGCGGCGGTGGTGTTGGCGACTGCCGCTGTTGCCGCCGCCGCCTCCGCCTCTGCCTCCGCCTGAGCGGATGCGCTAGCGGGAAAGTACTGTTGCTGTTGCTGCTGCATGGCCGCAGGATCGATCTTGGCGTCGTCGGACCTTCGCCGCTGTTGCCGACTGCCGCCCTTGTTGCCTACCGCCTTGGCTGCGGCTCCCCTCGAGGAGGACGGTGGGCAAGGCTTCGAGCTGGAAGGGTTGTTGCCTCTCTGCCCGATGAACATGCGCATCTGCGTGTACCTAGGAATGGGAAAAGATGCGCCTCCATGGTCAGCGTGTGGATCACGGGGGTTTGAAAGAGGTGGGGTAAAATGTATACGGCCAACTTTCGACCTTGCTGACACGGTTTTCACCCGCGACCGCTTCGCCAATAATGATCTCGGATGTTTGTATTTGCACCCCAACGAGGCCGAAAAAAGAGAACCGGCGGGTACACCAGTAGTTGAATGACGGAACGTGTGCCTGAGAAGTTCCAGAAATCGAGTATCTTGATGGGCGGCCGGGGATAAAGTGGAAGGCACAACCGACTTACCAGTGGTTCTTGACCGCATTTTCCGACCGCCCTGGCAAGAGGCTGGAGATGTAGCTCCACGCGTTGCCGTACTCCTTCTGCGCACGCCAAAGAACCTCCTCTTCGTCATGGGACCACACCTCCCGGCTCGCCTGGAGGGTACATGGCGTTCGCGCGGGAGGGCGGGCGGGCGGGGGGGGGGGGGGGGGGAAGGGGTGAACAAAAACATGGGGGGGGGGAAAAAAACCCCGGGCCCCTAACCGGGGGGGGGGACGCCCCAAAAAATAATGGGGGGGGTTTTTCCAACC